GGACGTGTGTATCAGACTACAGTGCGGGCCGTTTTGTTGTATGGTTGTGAGACGTGGCCTCTTCTATCAGCGGGACTGGGACGGCATCTTGACTTCGACGACCTTTGTCTCAGCACCATAGCTCATGTAGTTCGGTGCTGACGAATCCGCAGTGAGACAATTAGGAAGGGAGTGTTCGATTGTGCAACAGGGATATCACTGGAAGAACTTGTGCATCACCAAGAGCTGTGTTACTCAGGCCGTGTTTCGCGCATGACGAGACATCGTTTGTCGAGAGGAGTGCTGTTTTCCATTTCTAATTCGGAGTGCCTTAAAGAGAGCTGTTCAATCTTTGATCAGGCAGAGGGAAATGGAACGGATAACCATGGTTCATCATGTTCGCATCAGGTGCGACTCGCTTTCCAGAAGGGGATCTGCGTGTTCTCCTTGGAGACGCTTTAAGATACGGCTGCTACACAGTGTCAGTGGCGTTCTTGTCAATTTCTCCCCAGTGCTTGAATGAGTGTCTGGAGATCCAGGAACCTCAAGGATTATGGTAGTCTAACACCAAGTCTCATCATCATCATCATCATCATCATCATCATCATCATCATCATCTCATCATCATCATCATCATTGGCAGCAACACTAGGTGAGAACCCTGGTACTCTACTGCCCCACAACCACACCAGTTCATCTGCATAAATCCTAATGGGAAACAGAAAGAAATGGGGCATGCTAGTCTGTAATAAGCATCCGAGTTGCCCAGACTTCGTAGCATCCTTCATTCACTCCCCCCATGCCTCTAGGCTTCCGCCACTCTTTATTAGGCACAGAAAACCGCTCGTCTCGGTAGGTGGGTATGGGACATACGTAACCCATGACCCTGCTACTTTAGCCAGCAGCACTTGATGTAGTATCTTCTGCATCACCAAAAATCCGTTTTCTGATAACCACATTGTGGAATCGCCGATTTCAGCCAACTCCAGCCATAGTTCTAAGAAGCCACTGGTCAAAGACCTAAATGTGCCTCCGATCCTACACCCGAGGTGGCTAACTTTTGTAGCACACCTCCCTGAAACGATGGCTACCCAATCGGTCCCAAATATTTTCCAGTTGATTGAGATAGTATGTTTATTCTCTCGACAGGATACTTACAGCCTTCGCAACGCATCTTGCGATAGCACCTATAGGCATAGACTTCTCGCCAGACACTTGCTCCAATTCTTCCACTTCATTTTTTATCGGTCTGTGTATGCTTATTGTACGTCAGCCCACATGCTTCAATGTGTCATCGCTGCTAACCAAAGTTTAGCCACTTGGCATTAACTCAGGATGTGTATTGATCGGACTTCTGAATCGGTTGGGGCGTGCTTTTTACCCCAGCCTTCACTATACATTTGAGAAACCGGCTTAGGATGACCCCGTCTCATCCTAAATGTTCACCGCAACCGGCTGTTTTACTTGTCTTCGTTGCCGCTCATGACACTTCTGGACACTCATTTGGTGTGTTTTTCGTTGGTGACCTATTGTGTGTGCGATCTTTTCGAGCGGTTTTAGAGACCGTTTGGCCCGCGCATTTCACTTTTCGATAGCTGATTCTATTGAAGTATCGTAGAACTTGGGACCATCTTTGCCTGGATGCGACTCGGACCAACTGTTACGCGTAGTCATTTGGGTTCTGGTGTTTACGCATGTTCGTTACTCAACCACTTGAAACCGATTCACACCAAATTCATATCGACTAAATCAAGTAAGGAGAAAGGCTTGTCAGTATGGACCACCGGAGTTCGGTCACATTGCCATCCCAGGTTACGAGGAAGACTATGGCGTCGTGGAAGGTGTTTATCCTCTTCGTGCCCTGCTGATTCAGTATTTTTCCTGCGGAGATCGTACGCCTTGCAGGTGTCAATCGTTGGTTAAGAGTCGCCACTTCCACCAGTTTCCGGTAGTCTGACAGTATTTCAACCGTGTGCTGACTGGTTGCATGACGGCTGTACTACTGCTGGTCAACCTTATTTCCCAACATCATTCCTAATATTGGAGAAGGTAACGCAGGGTTTCCCTGGTCGCTTCAGCCTCCTGTGAGCAGCCCATCCGCCCCTTCAATAATCGCTTCTCCCAACTCTTTCTTAACGGTTACCTCTAGGCTCTTCATCACCCTGAAACACAATCCGGGATCGGCGTCGCATTCAGTCTTCATCAACTTACTTTATGTAGATGGGTAATCATGAAATATAATCCATTACAGTATTTGTTGGGTGGTGTAAATACTTGCAGCCCTTCGTCTGTGGAAGTTACTCACCGAAGGCGAGTATTTCTTTAAAGATGAACGAAATTGCCCAGTCCCAGCTTTATTTACAGTGTGACCCGTAGCTTCCTTTCAAGAAAAATGTTGCTAAACGTTTTATGCCTATTACCGTAGAAGCTGTGGCTGTAGAAAAGGAAACTATCTTTCAGTAACCGGTTATTTGGACGCCAATTCATACAGCGCATATCAGGGTGGGACTCGTAACATGTCATTTTCGTAAATAGATCGTTCGGCCTATGGAGCCGATTCATAAAAGACGCACTGTTGGATGCTCGTGCGTATTGATACTATCAGGACTGAGTTCTTCCATTAACTATTGTTCTGCACATGAATCGCGCATGGCCATCAAAGAAATCTTCAGAACTCACCCGCTTTGGATGCACCTCCAGATTTAAGCAGCCTTGTGTCACTGCCCAAATCGGCGCCACGTCAGGTAGCTTCGAAACGTGTAGCCTAGTCCAGAACAGCAGTACACAATCCTTTCGGAAGGTCATAAGAATACGCCTGTCTTTCTACTTGAGGCGGTTCCCGCTGGGCTTCGGATTTTATTCTAACAAATCCCGTGCATCAGACGATGGGGAGTCCGGTAGAAATTATGAAGGAAGATCGTTGCACTGAAATATAAAGCAGAATCCCTCAACAACATCGTAACTAACCAAGTAGGAGCGCTCACTGGAAGCTTTAGGCAACTTTAAAATTTTATGCTATTCTGACCAACAGATGGTAATGGTACACTACTCCAACTCACTGTGGGCTCTGCATAAAAATATCGCAAGTGTACTGCTCGCAGCTTGTATATACTAAATGAGAATACTATTTTTATCGGTTTTGAAGGTGTGCGTCCTCGGGGGAGGAGATGACACTGTACATAGAACAAGGACAGGTCCCGTGTACCTGTTGTTGGGCTACTGCGCTAGCCAGTTAGACAGATGGGTTTTACCGCAATGTCAGCTTCGTTTATTGACTAAAAATCGTTCAGCTGGAGAACCCTTTCGGTGCTTAGCTGCCATGCCACCAGAAGGAAGCTATAGAGCTGGGAGACTGCCAGTTTGCCCAAGCCTAGCCAGGGGAGTTGAGGGACAGAAGTTAGGTTCGAACCATGGACCTTCCGGTGAGTAACTTGACGTTCTAATCACTGAGGCATTTCGTTTATCAACTAAATGGACATGTTTCAGTTGTGTCAAGTGTTTTTGAGATCATCGTTTTCAATAATAGCACAAGAATTTTGGCGAAGGGCACTGAAACATGATGTATTCATTGCCTGCGTTCGACTGATGCTATAAATATTTCAGAGATTTTGGTACTGTCGCGGTTTTGTCCTGGAGGTTACTTTTGCCACACAACAATGCTGTACATTATCGAGTCGGTTTCTTTTGGGAAAAGATCATCAGGAAGAGAACAGCTATCGATTGCTGAAGTTGCTTACCAGTCCTGTTTACAATGGCGTTTAAGCGTGACCGAAGGTTGTTTTTGTAGTTTTTTTTCGTTCTGCGTGAAATTTCCGCGGACAAGAGTGCAATGGCGAATGCTTTATGCAACACACTGGAACGCTTTGAGCCTCAATTCACTGGACGTGAATTCAAAAAGCGAGTCATGGAAGCTTTCTACCGTCAGACAATTTGATTTGACATCAAACTTAAACCAGCTTATTTGTACTGCCTCTACTGATGGTGGCTTAGCTATATCTCACTTCGCTCCGTCAGGTGAATGAATGTTTGCATTTCCAAATGTTTTATTTTGGAGCAAAGGACACATAACGTGGCTTATCAGAAGCTATTTCAGTGTCCCATCCATATCCCTCTGGATTAACTTCCAATAGGCGCAGCCAACTCGTATCGTTGCGTCCTCAAGTGGAATATAGTACGGGTGCACCGTGCGTGATAGGGCGGTTTCACTCTGGCGAAAGACTGAGTTTTTGTGGTCCGGTCGTGATAAAGGCAAGTTTTACAGGGACACTTCGCTTTACTATGATACGACAATGCGCCACGCATCTTCATTGGAATTTGTTGCTTAGATCGTTTGGCGTCAACCAAAAGTGCACGTGATCCGAAACAGTAGTATACTAACACTTGTTCGTGGACATATTAAGGCGACACCCTTAACGTCCTATTTTCAGTTTTTCAGGGTTTGAAATCCCGTGAGCCAATCTGGGACATCCCGGCTACCCTGCAGATAGTTTTGTTTCCAAGTGAACTACCCCATTTATATTCTGTGGTATGCTAATCTCGCACCAATGGGGTTTCATGGTTACTCAGTATGATTATTGTCCTTAGCACTACCTTCTGTGCTTCTAGCTGTTGCTTTGTGGTCTTCAAAGAGTTGGGTTGAAGGAGCGAATCGTTAGAACCAAAACTATTGGTTACTATATCGACGAGTAATCTCTCTTTCGACCGAAAATACCTCTCTAGCCTCATTAGGTCCGCTCTTGATGCTGTCAGAAAGTGAAGAGTGGTCCAAAATGATTGGGATTTGCGATGTATAAGGCCTAGAAGAAAAAACATTGTTTTGTGTAAGCATTTGCTCTTTTCCTGCCATTGACCTGGGAAAAATCGACCCCTAAACGACATAACGCTTTGGTCCTAAATCAATACCCGTTCCCACAAGCTGTCGCACTGTTGCTGTGTTGAGTTTAAGTTCTATTTTTTGTTACTATTATACTGATATATTCGTACTACTTAAATTATAAACACTGTTTATCGTCCGCTCTCAGTGGGTCTAGATGCGGCTGGGAAAACAACAATTTTGTACAAGTTGAAGCTCGGTGAAGTTGTCACCACAATCCCAACGATCGGCTTCAATGTGGAAATGGTAGAATATAAGAACATCAGCTTTACTGTATGGGATGTCGGTGGACAAGACAGGATTCGCCGACTCTGGAGGCACTACTTCCAAAATACTCAGGTTTGTATAACCCCTTTACTCTCTGACTAAGTTCCCCACAGGGTTTAATTTTCGTTGTTGACAGTAATGACCGTGAGCGAGTAAATGAAGCTGCAGACGAATTGAAACGAATGCTTTCAGAGGATGAATTGCGGGACGTGGTCATCTTGGTTTTCGCCAACAAGCAAGATCTTCCTAATGCCATGTCTTCCGCGGAGCTCACGGACAAGCTGGGCCTGCGGGAAATTCGGAATCGACCGGTGAGTTCAGTGCAATTTTCAGTGCAATTTTCAATGCAATTGAAGAAGACTGCTACTTGGTGTATACAAAATTATTTGGTTGCCTTTCATCGGAGTTGCGATCTTCTAGTTTCAAATGAGTTGCTGTTAACACATGTTGTATCAGCAGTTCTCTATCGATAGTACGCATTCTTGTCCCTTTGACGCCTTGTTTTGAAAGTCTGTAAAATACGAGACCATTAAGGACCAACATTACTTTCATCGGAGTTGCGATCTTCTAGTTTCAAATGAGTTGCTGTTAACACATGTTGTATCAGCAGTTCTCTATCGATAGTACGCATTCTTGTCCCTTTGACGCCTTGTTTTGAAAGTCTGTAAAATACGAGACCATTAAGGTACCAACATTAACACGTGCCAACCTCTGTGAATTGTATCGACCATCCTTGCATCTAAGTGCCTCCACCCCATTGTAATCTACTTTAGTAGCAATACAGTCAAATGAATTTTCCCAACTAGCAGGATATTTTGAAAGCTTATGAATACATTTCATAAATCGAACAGCGGAATCCGGAAAGTATCTTACAACCGTTTCATCCCATCTAGGGACTGTTATTTGTATGAGCATGACAAGCCCTGACTTGAAGTCGGTTGAGCAGAAGGCAAATACTTCTGCTTCTGGATGATTACTCACTGATGGATGCTTGACTTTTAGGTGTTCTAGCTATTTCATGTTCCACTGAAAACTACCGACACATCACCTCGAATTTGAACGTTTATCCCTAGCTTGTCGGCCACAAAGTTTGGGTTGCATTTGATGCCACAAGCAGGCCAATGGGTTGAACAGCCATCTGTTGAACATGACCTACTGGTATTCTCCTCGACATCAAACTACGTTAACTACGTGTTAACTTAAAGGTTCCCGATGTCGAGTATGACAAACTTGAATTCGACAACTTCATTTGGTTCGAACCTTGTTTGTCCAACTATGCTGAATTACTATTCGAAAAAATGAACAACCAGCTAATGTGTATGGAGTCGGTTGTAGACTGGTCACAGAAGGAGGAATAGAGATTGAGATTTCCCACGTTATCTGTTGTATGCAACATTTTTAAAGGTTACCCAGACCGCCTTATGCTAATGGGGGTCGAGAATATGGACAATTACCTTGTTTGAATCACCGAATTACAAGGCACACAATTTTGCCGTCCGTGAGTATTCGGCATCAACGTCCCAGAAAAAAGCGCAATCAGTGTCACATTCGAACCTCACTTTGGGGTTCGAGGACCGATGGCAGTTGAGTTCCCCTATAAGATGAATCTGCTGCCCTAGTCACATAGGGACAAAACCAAGAAATATGTTGACTTTCGCTTCCGATTTGTTATACAGTTCGCCTAATTTCTCCATCTCTGTTTTATTTTTCTTAGTGGTTTATTCAACAAGCGTGCGCCACCCAAGGACAAGGACTTTTCGAAGGTCTAGATTGGCTATCGAATGAAGTATCCAAACGCCCATAAGACCACCATGAATTTGATCTCTTGTAAATTGTTTTCTGCCCGTTTTTTCACACTACGATTCCCGGTCTAACTCCTTCACATGTCCGCACTGTGGCGTGCAACATCCGTTTGATTCCACAGATGAACGATTATGAACCGCTATTTTGAAATCCTTGTGATAAGTGTTCCCTTACCATGCTTACCAGGTAGCGTGCTTGGCTTGTTGTATTTCTGATCCGTTTATTGGGGGACGAAATATTCTTGTAAAGGAATTTCACATGAAGTGGTTCGATTGTCTGTCGCGTTGGCTTTTTCGAATCAGCTACCCACACACATTGTGTTGCTTCTGCGTTCGCCCTTAATGTCGCACCGGAGAAAACAAACTAAGTAGGTCTCTCTTCCGCATTTTGGTCGTTGGGTGGTTAAAATTGACCAGTCTACCTTTTCGTCTCGCTCCTTAGTAAGACCTTGATGTATCACTTTGTCTTGTATATTTGCTTGGGGATATCGCGGTCTGAGGACAGATGGCTGCTCAAATGCTGGTGTTCTATCAGTGCGACCACTTTTTAATAGAGTGGCCAGATAACCCATCCATAGTCGTCCGAATCCCAGTATGCGGTCAGACAAGAGTGAAACGAAGAACTCGTTTAGTATTTCAACAGAAAACTTGGTACTCGTGGGAGGATTCTGTAATCCGGGACGTGGTAAGACTGCTCAGTATTTGAGTATTCACGGCTTTAGCCAACATCGTGACCTGGGTATTACTTATGCGCAAACTCAGATTTACAGTCCCGCTTATTCAGGAGCAGAGACTAGGCGTCTCTGCTTGTGCCATCCGTGCCGTTATGATCTGTCAATGACTAACAACTTTGCACTGGTAGTCTCTCTGTTTGTTTTCCATACTAAGTAAATCCTTTCTGTGGTATTCATCCGTGCACAAAGGTACCTAGGAATCTGATTTTTGTGGGCATTGTAAGCGAGGAGCTCCACGGCTGTGAGCTGCTTTTTGTCATCACGTCATTCTGATGCCTGTTTACGCGTGCTTTTATATTCTTCCTTTCGGACTGCTATTTGCCACCCAGCTTGAAACATTTGTGGTAACAAATTACCTTGCTAAGGAGCAAGATGAATTTGCATAAAAGAAACCACTCACAAGGTTGCTGAAAGCTCTTCGACAACCCACGACCGGTTTCTCCCTTCTTGGAACTCATCAGATGGGCCCCGAGTTCCTGTCAACATTGTGTTCAACTTGAATTCAAATCGGAATGATTTCGACAAATCCATACATTTGTACATCAATTTCGTTTTCACATTATTAGTAGTTTCCATTATGAAAGTGTGCTGCGATATTTCTAATATCGCACCAACGGTTACATGAGGCGGCCTTTGTGCAACACATTCAGTTAAAGAATATCATAAACGCGAGATTCAACTGGGTTTCAAGCGAGTCTTCCGCGAAAACCAAGTTGGTATGCACATGAGTGTACCTGCCGACCAAGATGAATTTTTTATCCCCGATTTTACATTACATTAGACACTGAGTCCATTGGAACGATTAGTGATCCGACAGACCACGAAAACCCTGGTGCATACGGCATAAGAACACATGAGTCACAGCAGACATGAGACTACGTATGTTGGATTTACGCCTACTCAGCGGTCACAACAGATGCAACTTATACCAGTTTGGAGACTGCTTTCCGTACACTAGGTTGATTGATTTTCGCAACCACTTCAATCGATCTGCTGAGCTGTGTGAGCGAGCGGTCAGTGTAAAATCAAGCGCAGTCCGCTTATTGCTTCCTCTTTTCTTCAGAACGTCTTATACTATACAAGATTCGGTAGTGCCTGCAAACCAACCCGCAATACTTAGTAAATATCAAACGAAACACTTTCTGGTTCAAAACTTGACATTCTAATTCACCAGTCAACTGTCACGTTAAGTGACGGGTGGTATAAACATTTTTGATGCCCTGCAACAGTATCGACCGCTTCATTTGTTGTAGCGCAGGGTACGCATTTAACCTCATACTTTGGAAAGCTCTATGATTTTGATAGCCTGAACAGCTCAGGGAGCTGACAGCACGGTTTACCGGTGCATGATAACTTTATCGAGTTATCTGCTTTATCCAGTTTCCGTGGATTTATTAGGGTGCTTTGCGATTGACGAGTTAGTTTTGGTCGTCCACAATGGCTCAGTTAAAAACGGTAGCAAGATTATTCAGAGAAATTTTTGTTTTTCCACCTCGGTTCTTCATGTAACATGAAAACACTTAGCGATAGACAAAATGTCACGTTAAGGTCGGGTTTGTCATGTAACACCGTAATAAAGTGACAGATTTCGGATTGGCTGCAGTTTTATTGGCCCGCCTTGGGTCTATGGTCTTCCATGGAAATCTTACTCAAACATGGCATCATGTATATACCGTAGTTCCGCGTACACATCTGTTTCAGAATACAATACAGTGATGACCGTTCTGGCTGGACTGTTATTTGTTGCTGGAAAAGCTGGAATTAAATTCTGCATTAACGCAAGTAAATATTTTCCATCAAAGTTTAGGCAGACTGAGTGTGCAACAGATTTGCATCTGCAAATTTTTTTTAACATAGTCAGTGTAATCTGTCGTTACGTGAGCAAAATAAGGTAAGTTTTCCTAAACCGAAACATTCGGTAGTAAGATGAACTTAGAAAAATAGTTAAAATTACGTAGCCTCTTGCATAGAGTGCACCAGTCCGTACTTGTCCAGTACTGAACTTCAACTATGGTGCTCTTGGGATTCTTTTTCCAAACTACGATCCGAACCAGGCTGTGTAATAATTCGCCCTAATCAGTTGAACGTCTGACTTTCATGGGACACGTTCGTGTAGGCCACTGATCCATCCGGTGCATACACCACACGCTCCAAACGTTTAGTTTTCCCAACCTTATTTGGAAACCATAGCCTGTTGGTTACGCACACCGCTGGCTTCAGGGATGTCCTTTCTCTTTGGCCTTCGGCCGTACATCCTCAGGTTGAAGCAGGCAAGATGACTCAGGGGTTAGAGCACAAATTGACTGACCGGATGGTCCGTGGTTTGAACCCGGCATCTGCCTCTCGACTTCCCCTGTCTAGACTTGGGCAACCTAATAGTATCCCAGCCTTCTTGCTTCCTTCTGGTGGCATGGCAGTTAGGCACCGAAAGGGTATTACAGCTGAACGCCTTTTTCCAAGCAGAATGTATTGCTTTCCGGCTCTTTCGCACACTGCTTTAAAAAAGTATGTGGGATTCTGTTGAGGTAATGCAGCATGTAAACCCTAAAACAGGCGCCAGCCTTCCATTCCATTGAATCCCAGCGCAATACCAACGAATTCCTGTAATAACTAACTACAAGTATGACCTCTGAGGAAATAATCGATTTCACGCTTCCTTGAAGCTAGCTTCCAGAACAGTCGTTCTCCCAAATGAGGGCATTCGTGTCCACGCCATTGACTTGATTGATTTTCTTAACTAGCTTACAGGTGTTTGGATGCCAAAACCTAACGAAGTTACTGAAGTATTCATCATTTGGCTCAGTAATGAGAATCACCTAATGGTACCTTAGAGCATTCTGTTGTTCGAGTGTTCATGGTCATTACAGAAGTCCTATAACCGATCATCCATCCTAGTAATTAGGTTCGCAATGAGCGAAACGAAACTTACGTTACCTAGACACGTTACAATTGATAAACGTTGATATATCCTATGCTTAGTAGCGCTCAACCTTGATAAATGACACGGATGGGACACGTTGATAGGTGAGCGACAATAGTCCGACTGATGTTAGCACATTTCGTTTAAAAACCTGCGGAATTGGACAGGACTCATAAGGGTACATACCATACCGTAACATCGGGCTCGAGCGTTTAAGATACTTGGTTAACTAAGCTTACTTGCCTGAAGACGTGTATGGATCTTACGTAAAGCCTTCTCGGATGTGGAAATCTTGAATCATTTTTGTTAGTTGACCGGGTTGCTGCTGGTCTATCCCGCGAGCTTTATAATCGACCTTCAATTCAGTTGCGGAACTTGGGGAACGGGTCAGCAGACACCCAGCCCACTACTGATAAGTACACTGGAGCTACCAATATTCCAACACATTGCTAGTAATCTTTTTTATTCCATTTTATTCACACTACTGAATCAAAGGATGCAGCTTACGATAGACCACAGAAGTTAGACAGCTAAACGGTATCTAATGGCACCCATTGTTTTCATACTCTCAGATGTGGTGAACATGATCGAAACGTCAGCTTTTTATTGAGAACTTAAAGTGCAGTGTTAGTTGTGTGCTACCGTTCAACCAACAGTATCCATTTCTTCTCTGTAATAGCCGTCCGGCAGCATCGGGATAATTTCGCGAAATTCATTACTATCTTTTTTGTGATGTCTTTTCACTACCAGCATGTCTGAACAGACGTGTTTGTTATGGACAGCAGCACTAAAATACCTACCTTGTAGACAGACTATACTTTCCTTCCCATCATTTTTGATGCCTTAGATGCATGCATTAATTTGCACAGCTTCCTTTCATACAACTATAAAAGGGATATCATCGTGTTTCTCTCTAATCATTTTAGACCTTTTACTGCAGTATGGTTGACATAGTGTAGCATTTGATCGACTCTGGTATGCTTGTTTACAAGCCACCGAAGCAGGTCCTTACAACCGGTGACCTTCTGCATCATATGTTCAAAGAATCATCCACAGAAGCCTGAGTAGCTCCTGCATTTCTCACTTTTCCACAATACCTGCCATGTGGGCAACCATTGAATGCTCTTGTATTGTACTAGATCAACCTGTTCTAGACAGAAGTCACAAGATTCGACTGCGGCCACCACTCTTCTGATTGATCGGTCAAATTACCCTGTTCACAGGAAAAGCTGAGCTGTTGCCATCTCTTGACCCTCTGGCTTGTAACGATCTCTGATGGCCCCGTACAGAGGGGTGTTGTAAGCACTGATTGCGTCAGTGTCAGTAGTTCTCGGTATACTGCTCATGTGCGCCCGCTCTAACTGCATGCTAACCACTCCAGTTAGATTGGAATAATGAATACAATAATAATGCCTCAGATATAACACCCTTTCGGTACCTAGCTTCCATTCCACCAGAAAGGAGCACCATGGCCGGGATAATTCCAGTTTGCCGAACCCTAGACAAGAGTAGTCTAAATGGCGAGGTTGAGTTCGAACCACGGACCTTCCAGTCAGTAATTTCGCACCTTAACTACTGAGCTATCTCAAGCTCGGGGTGAGTGGGTCGGTTAGGGTGGAATATCAATGAGAGAATAGGCACCATAGCAACAAGGCACTGCTCATCTGTACCGCCAGCTAATTGCAACCCACTAACAAAATGAATGGGCGTTCAGGTCTCTAATCAAGCGAGGCTTGTTTTGAACTGAGAACTTATCGCCTCGTGCTGCTAACCCACATCCACTTACACCATTATTGCAT